TAAAGTAAGACAAATCTACACTTTAAGGCTTGAACACTTGCACTGTAATAATCAGATAACTAAACAGCCAACAGCAAAATAACCCAAGCAATCCATTGCCTGATTCTTGGACACACAGCCCTTGCTCTACTGGGGATTAATCTGCACACAGCCCATAACACAGCATTCGATTCATTCTGCACACGGCCATTCTCAAACAAACAACCCAATTTGACAGGACGGACCTCAAAGATGGAACCGGTTGGAGTCGAAACACGCTCGAATGTAGAGAATGGCACAACATTCTTGAGCATAAATGATTTTTGAAATCGAATGAGGGTTTTTCAAACCGGGATGTCGAGCCTACACTGAACACAGCGGGGAGGACTCAAACAAAGAGGTACACGACCTAAACACAACGAGACACGCTCGGGAGAGACTCAAAACAAAAGACGAGACTGTCAAATGAAAGAGTCACGACACACAGACGCGTAAACGACGATGGGGGAACCTCGGACCACGAGGAGCCAGTTCAAACTGGGTATTATTTCCCACCCTTTCTGATTTGTGATTCTCACATCACTCGGCTCTCGAGCTCGGATTTTTTCCTCAAAAACCCTTTTCCTCACTTTTCTCTCAACTTACACCTCTCTATTCTTCAATCTCTCATTTTCCATCCCTCCCCGGGGTGACTGATGAATGAACAGGAAGTTGCGGGTTCACGCCCGATGCCGTTAGCTCACCGCTATTTCTTCTGGTGGGCAGAGCGCTCTTCTGGCAAGTACGTCGGTGACGGGGGAAAGACAGAATGCCTGGCTCAGCTGTGCCCCTAGTTCATCATTTTAACCATTTTTTCGTTTTTGCTTTCTACTAAAACGGTTTTGATCAAAATGAGAGTCGGATTAACGTACTCGTTCGATTTTTGATTTGAAAAGCGTGCAAGTCAGGCTGCAAGCACTGAAAATTTTCCTTTTTGGGTCCAAGACAATGGTCCGATTTTGGAAAAATGAAATAGTTTTCGAGAAAATAGTCAACCTCAGTAAAAATTTTCAAAAACTATTTTTCAAACAGCTGATGCTCGACAAGCATGGAGCTTACCCTTTGAGATGCGCAACCTCGGATCGGAGGCAATGGCAAATTGCCCCTGGTTTAAAGGGGGTGGGAGGCAACGGAAAGTTGCCCCTAGTTTGAATGGCGCTGTACCGGAGATCGC